TCACAAATTACAAATGTCTAGATTCAAAATTATGAATCTCTTATCACATCAACATCAAAAGATTAAGTCTTGTCTCGATAGTAAAATCTAAATATGAATCACAAAAACATTTAACATCCAAAAAATCAATAATCATATCCCACCAACATTCAACATCTAAATTCAAAAATAGTACTGTATACAAGTAACATAATGATTCCCATTTTTCCCCTAATATATTACTAATAAAAAATATATGGACATAAATGTGACTATAAGTTACAATGAGTAAGTTTTATAATCACTACGATATAACATTTGAATAAAATTATAAACACTAAAGTTACTAGAGTCGCATTTTTGTCCACAACTTTTATTTTGATTATAGATTCAGAATTATTTCTAAAAAAGGTACTTCTAAATTCTAATACTATGATTTTGGTATTCTTGTAGTTACTCTTTTAGAAATCTCATGATTTAAATTTAAAACTTGATATAAATTAGAGCAACCCATCAAAATTAATCTAATAATCCAATACACCTCTACAAAATTATTAGCAATTACATAAATTAAAGCAAGCTAGAGTAATGTTTCACAATGTTTGGACTTTAAACTCATACGTGAGTTTTATGAAAGTTATCGGGTGAAAAATTAAGGGAGCCACAATGTGGAAAATGTGTAGAGAAAATCACAAAAATCAAATAATCAATATGGGAAGAAAATAGATCTTGTAGTAGTTAACAAAGGATGATGAATGATATTGAAAATTCAAAATCTAAAATAGTGAACTTTGAGCACAACTCCTCGGAATTGCAAAGGATAGCCGATTAGTTGAATATTGTTTGAAAGTATTAGAGGGAATAAGCGTCATATACTAATGTACTAGTGTACACTAGAAAATCTTATCAAGTCACTTTAACCATAACTTCATAAATTTGAGTAGAATCGATTCAGTCAATCAGTGTTTTTAAACGGCGCATTGTTATATGATGAAAAAAATTATTCAGAATATTAGTAAATGTCAAGCATTTTTCACCTAATCACCTAAGGCCTCTAATAAGCTAAAGTCGGCCCTGCTGAATTTCTACAAGTTAAAGAAATAAAGATATACTCTCTCCGTCTCTTAAAACTTTGTCATCTTTCCTCTTCGGGACGTCTCAAAAAAATTCGACACTTTCTCTTTTAATCAATTATTTTGTTGTTTCTGTTATTTCTCTCTCCTCTGCACAAATCTCAACCACACAGTTTTTACTTTATTATTCTCCGCGCCGGTCAACTTTGGCAAAGTTTTAAGGGACGGAGGTAGTATCAATCTTTATCTTTGCATTGAAATGAGAAATACCAAGTTGAGTGCAAGTTAGTCCATGTCACAAAAAGACAAAGACCAACCATGCTCTCCTCAATCAAGTGAAACAAAGCAAGTAGATCAAGCAACAGACAAGATTGAAACTCCTCAGCCAACGGTCGAGCTTTAACAACATAGTTTATATATACAGAAGGAGTGCGGGAAGAACAAGTGTAGAAGCCAAGTGGAAAAGAAGGGCATCAAGATTCACACATGTAATTATTAGCAATTACATATATACAAGTTTATATACACACGAACACAATTAGTTGGTAGTTTAGTTTAATTTTCACCCATGTAAACTAGACCAGTGTTAGACACTCTGGAGGGCTTTGTGTTCAAATCCAGAAGGTGATAAGGGAAAGGACATGATTAGCTTTTGGCAAGTCAATGTCATTAGTGAAAACCTTGGAGGACTGAGTAACTTAGAATGATGTTCAAATTCCTTGTGAAAAACCTCACAATCTATGTCTGGGCCAAGGATAGATTGGGCACTAAATGTAATGTGATATTTATTTAGTGGAAATCCATCTGAAATAGGTTGGGACTGGATGTAGGAGGATTACACCACCCCGGAACCAGAATATATCTTATGTCACCTTTTATATTCAGCTCCCAATACACACTACAGTTCTCACTCACCTTCACAACTTCCCAAGAAAACAGCTTGCTCACTAAACTGGCCAGTGAACTTTCCAGTTCACTGTGAATCAAATTCCTTGTTTCTGTGCATTAAAGTCATCTATCTTTGTTGATCTAAATCCTTCATACTTATGTGTCAACCATTGAAGCAGTAGCCTCATTCAGTAGCCTGCTCCTAAAGGTTCAATTGCCAGATCCAAAAATCGGCAGCCTGCTCCTTGAGTCATCTGTTTCTGGCAAACATATTTGCATCTTGCTTACCCCATCTTTACACAACTAAAAGGGTCATAATTTTTGTTACTATAAAGTGTCACACTCTTAAGGTCAAGACTTCTGCTGTAGGTTTCAATATTTCTCAAAAGATATTGGAACTCATTATGTTAGAGGAAAAAGAGTTGAAAAATGAAAAGATTTAAAAGTCTATTTACCTCACCCACCCACTCCTCTAGACTTTTACCTCACTTTGGACCATCATTTTTGTTGTTTATTACTAGTAACTTTTATTTTTATGTAATTTAAAAATTTTATATTGAAAAAATAAATAATATTCATCTCAATTATTCCTCTTAGATTGTATATATTCATGAATTTTTTTCAAACTAGTCAGTAAAATAAGAATATATATATATATATATATATATATATATATATATATATATATATATACACTTTCATTCCAAATAAAACTATAAAAGCTTGTTTTCTCTCACCCATATGCATATTATTCAAGACATATTTATTCTTCTTATTTTATTTTATTTTTTTCTAGCATTTTTGCATAATTTTTATCTAATATGTTTGCTTCCCCCAAATATTAAATCATTTTTAATCAAATGACATCTTTAGTACAAAAATCCAAAAAAAAACCGAAATCGAACTGAAACAAACAAAATCAACCAACTCATAGTTCAAGTTTTGAAATGGAAAACAAAATCGAAACTGAATCGAACGGTTTGCTTTGATTTTGTATTTGGTTTTGCGTCAAAATCAAACCCAAAAAAACCAAACACACCCCATATTAATTGTCATATTTATGACCCTTCTTAATTGTCGCCTCAGACAAATTAAGACGAGATTAAGGACTGCGACACAAGGTAGAGAATGGAAGTTGAGAAAGGACTCAAAAGGAGTACTAAATTTAAGGCCCAAATAACTTTTGCACATGCTTCTTTTTTTCATTACGTGCGATATATCTAAGTATCTAACCATGTCTATCTCTCAAGTCATCCTCGTCGTGCATTTAGTCCAATTTCTAGTTCTGCATTCATCAAAATATCCAGACCATTAGCCACAGTGGTAGCCCCTAGCCTCCTACTTCATCCCAGTAATACATTATTCCTCTAGATCTATATACTTTCTATATACTTATATGTATGCATTATCCAGGGCCGGCCCAGAGGGAGTTTAGGATGTGCGACGGCACAGGGCCCAAAAAATTGGAGGGCCCAAAATAAAATATTTAGTAGTAGTACTGCTACTCTACTAATGTAATAATGTATGATGAATGGATGAAATAATGAAATTTAACAAATTTGGTTGTCATTTAGAATTAAATGTAATTAGTTGATGAGTTAATTGGGCTATTTATATTTAATAAAGTTATAATTGGTGCAGCTATGTTTTAAGAACATCTGTTTGTCGATCAATATTTATGTCAAAAAGGAAAGCCCAAATTTTGTTATTGCATAGGGCCTCCATTTTCTCAGGACCGGCTCTGGCATTATCCATCAACATATATATATGTGGAAAAATATCATTTTGTAAGTCTTTCTTTTTGTAGTATAGTTTTACTTGTGTTATTCTAATGAAATTATGAGGTCGTTTGGCAACACTGTTTTTCGGCTTATCAGGTTTATCAGCCAACTTTTTCACCAAACACGTAATTTTTGCTTTTGCACGCTGAATCGTGTAATAATAAGAAAAAGTAAGGTTGGAGTTACTTTTCTGCTGTATTGGCTGAAGATGATCGATCATTTTAGCTATTTTTACATGTAATTTTTTCTTTATTTTATTACTGAAATGTATTTAAAAAATATTTTTTCTTAAATCAGCAGAATCAGCCAATGCAGGCAATGCAGCCCCTTCAGCCAGAACTTCATAAATTTCAGCATAATCGGCCAAATTAGCCGATTTTTGTGCTACCAAACGGGCTCTATGTGTGTGTATCTGAGTGTTCATTAGGGTTTGTGACACAAACTATGACAATTTTTGAAGAAAAAAGAACTTAGATGTAATTGCTGGAATATGTGACATTGCTTTTGTCACCAATGTGTAGTCTCGTGTGACATTATATTCTCTTTAATACTACCTCCGTTCCATAAAAGTTAACCAAATTTCCTTGTTTGGTCGTTCCAAAGAACTTTGACATTTTTATTTAAAGTAAGGAATGCGTGGTTAAAGTTATTTCTCTTTTAACTGTACAAATTTCAACTACACAATTTTTACTTTATTAATCTACGTGCAAGTCAACTTTGATCAAGGTTTGTGAGACAGAGAGAGTATGTGTCAATGTTTGACAGAGCTACTTGTGTGCATCTCCAAGAATATGTCCATTGAAAATGTATGCCTTTTTGATCGTGTATCTCCAAGAATATGTCCATTGAAAATGTATGCCTTCCTAGAGAGGTTTGAAGGCCCAAGTTCTAGGCCTCATCTGCTCATCCCACACCATCCATGGTGGGCCTCTCTCCTAACGCCCAAATGAGTATAATCATAACATAGTACATTTATTTCTTCCCTTCCATCATTATTAAGTTTTCACTCACAAAGTCACAAACTATGTAGTCAAAATTAACTCTACCTTCTTTTTTTGAGAATTTAACTCTACCTTCTTAACATCTGGTTTTGACTATCAAACAAGTTACTAATTCAACATATTTTTAATGAATAGACTATGATCAGTGGGAAAAAACATTTCCAACTGAAACAGTGACTTCTTTATTGAAGAGATGTGGTAAACATTGCTCTTTTCCAATTAGAACACAAATAGAAACTGTAAAAAATGCCAAAATAAATAGACTACAATGACGTGAATGAACAACGTTGGCAAAATAAACAATTCCATAATTAGCACATCTCTCATTCATATATTTATATATCTTTCAAAGCCCAAAAATGGACTGCCATGAAACAGACTTAAGAACCTTGGACGGCTCAAATAGCACGAGAAAACCCAAGGAACTCTATCACCCAAAACTCTGTTTCTGACCAAACAAACAAACCAATAAACAAAAACGCATTATTTAACTCAAGAACCACACTTATCTGTTCTTGAATAGCAACAAAATGTAAACTCTCTATACTATAACTGCTAAGTACTTGACATTTAGAACTAATAGTAATGCCATAAAACTATTACTGCAAAAAGATTATAGGCAAGCTATATTGAGCGAAGGCGGTGGCGTCATGACCGGGGGAGGTTGAGATTCAACCATCCATGCTTCATTGCAAGCATCAAAATCAAAGTCAAAGTCGAAGTCCGGCAAAGTAACAGGCAACTGATCCTCCATTTCAAAACCACCATACATAGGAATGTCCTCAAAGCCCACCGGAAACCCGACAAAATCATCCACAAGACACTCTGGGTAATCATCTCCGGCAGCAAGAAGGGATTCCAATTCCATACCAAACGCAATATCTTCCACCAAAGAAAGACTTTCAGGCAGATCTTCATTCATCTCAGGGGGGGCATTATTGGACTCAGAGATCAGAGAGTCCATTTCCAGAACAGAGGAAGGCGTGGCGGCAGAGTCCTCCTCCTCCACCTCCTCTTCGGCCTCGTCGGAGGATATAATGTGATTGCTGCTGTTCTTGCCCCCCATAGCCATAGCTTCTTGAATCTCAAGACGTTTCTTTTCATAAACTGCAGAAGCCTCCTCAGCACTGTTGTAAGTGCCCAGCCACACCCTCCTCCCCTTGAAGGGATCCCGGATTTCCGCCGCCCATTTCCCCCATTTCCGCTGCCTAACTCCTCTGGGTTTCACCGATGAAGAAGAGATTTTGTTTTTGAAATGAGTATTGTTATTAACAAACAATAAAGGCGCCCTCTTTTTGGTGTTGCTATCTTGACAAGAACTGACCTCCGTTTCAGGGGAGGTTTTACTGTTACTCGCAGGACCACCGAAAGTGACGGAGATGGGAAGATGAATCTCCCTGACGAAAAGCTTTTTAGGGTTTTTCTTCACATCAACAAAAGCCCCTTCATCCTCGGAGGAATCGGTGGCATCCGGGTCGTTACACACGATCCGGATTCTCCGCATCGCTTTCTTCCCGGGTTTCATTTTCTTCCCGAATCGCTCTTCACCATCCGCCATTCTTTTACTAATCGGAGACGAAAGAGGTGTAAAAACCTGGGATTTAACTCGGGAAAAATTAAGAATCTAAACAAGAAGGTTTAAGGTAAGGCTCAAGGTTGTCTCCTTAGTAACTAAGGGACACTAGATGAGAAGTCGATTCAAGATCAGGAAAGTGTGTAACAGTCTGTTTAAATGAAATCCACCGAAACAGTCCGCTTCAGAACGAGTCCTGCAAAGCGAGGAGGAAGAAGAAGGGGAAATAACACAAAACTATCACAGATCAGAGCTTAGAGCGATTGAAATCGAAGAATGATTTAGGGTTTAAGGGTGTTTACTTTTTGGTGGTCAAACGCATCGAAGTGGCGGAGTCAACGGCGGCTGTTCTGTGCGGGAGAGATGAGGAGGAGAGGAGGATGGATAGGTTGAGGTTCAGCAGAGAAGCCCCATTCAGAAGAGAAGAAGAACTCAGTATAGACCTTCCCGACATAAATCTCCTCTACCACCACAACTCACACACTCTCTCACTCTGTATAGGCCTTCCCAAAGTTGAACAAACAAAGTGGAAGAGAGACTGTCGAGCCAGATACTCTTATTTATAGATACATACTCCGTATATAAAAATGCGTAATTCTATCTACTCTTTTTAAGTGCAACATTGTTCTACTACATACTCTATATATTTTATGTTCAAATTAAATATATTAATTTTACCATTAATATATTTAAATTTCTATAAAAAATACTTCTTTCGTCCAAAAAAAATAAAAAATACTTCTTCAGTCTCACGGAATTTTGTCAAATTTTCTTTTTTGGTGGTCCAAAATATTTTGTCATTTTTCATTAAAAGTAATAAATATGTGGTTAAAATTATTTCTCTTTTTTCTGCACGAGTCTTAAACATACAATTTTTATTTTAATATTTTATGTGCAAGTCAACATTGACCAAATTTTATGGGACAGAGGCAGTACTTGACAATACTTTTTAAAACGATCCTTTTGTACATTAATAAATAAATAGGTATAATCAAAATAGAACATATATTGTAAATTTAACATGTTGCACTTATTCAAAAGGAAATAATAATTCTTACTAAATTTCTACTTCACATAATTTTCTTCTTAGTTCTCACAAACAAACTATTATTAGTATTAATAATTACTACAATACGAGCCCGTTTGGTAACACGAAAATCGGCTGATTTGGCTGATTCTGCTGAAATTTATGAAGTTCTGGCTAAAGTGGCTGTTTTGGCTGATTCTGGTGATTTAAGAAAAAATTATTATTACAATATATTTTATTAATAAAATAAAGAAAAAATTATATTAAAAAATAGCTAAAATGATCATCTACAGTAACTTCAGCCAATACAGCCAGAAAAGTAACTCTAACCTTACTTTTTTTGCTTATTACACAATTCAGCGCGTGAGAGCAAAAATTATTTGTTTGGTGAAAAAGTTGGCTGATAAGCCTGATAAGCCGAAAACTGTGATGCCAAAAGGCCTCTACAAATTAAACTAAAGTAATATTGAATTCTAGGTAAAATCAAATATAAAATACTACCTCCGTCCCTTATAACTTTGCCAACTTTCCTTTTTTGGATGTCCCATTAACTTTGCCACTTTCCCATTTAAGTAAAGAATTTGTGGTTCCAGTTAATTCTCTCTCCTCTGCACAAACCTCAACCACACAGTTTTTACTTTATTAATCCCCGTGCCGGTCAAACTTGGCAAAGTTATTAGGGACGGAGGGAGTACGTAGTAACATTTTCGGGTATGATGGCTTTCACGAGGATCACCATTCTTTGCGGAATCCATTTCAAAACGACCGTAATACCGTATGACCCATTGCATCATGAAAATTACTCCCTTCGTCCCGCAAAATAGTTCCCGGTTTCTCTTTTAGGTCGTCCCAAAAAATAGTTCTAATTTCTCCTTGTAGAAAGTTTTGTGTGGCTCACATTCATTTACTTTTTTTTTTACAAAACTACAACCAGATATTTCCACTTTATTCTCACTTTCTTAAGTCATTGAGGGAACTATTTTATGAGGCGGAGGGAGTAGTATGTAGATAAAAAAAATTGTGCCTATTCATGACACAGACCGTTAAATTTTGTTGTGTTTTGTATCACAATATGACAATAGTTCAACCTCCAAAATCGCATATATAGAGCCCGTTTGGTAGCACCAAAATAGGCTGTTTTGGCTGATTCTGCTGAAATTTATGATATTCTGGCTGGAGTGGCTGTTTTGGCTGATTCTGCTGATTTAAGAAAAAAATATTTTAAAAATATATTTTATTAATAAATTAAAGAAAAAATTATATGTAAAAATAGCTAAAATGGTCCTCTACAGTAATTTCAGCCAATACAGCCAGAAAAGTAACTCCAACCTTACTTTTTCGGCTTATTACACAATTCAGCGCGCGAAAGTAAAAGTTACGTGTTTGGTGAAAAAGCTGGCTGATAAGCCTGATAAGCCGAAAACATAGTTCTCCAAACGGGCTCATAGTATTTCAATAGAGTTGTGTTGAAGGCGTAAATACTAAATACGGAGTAGTAGACCGGAATTAAAATTTCTTTTATGGCAGTGGTAGTATTATACCGCGTAGGGGCAGGATCGGTCCGGTCTGGGTCGGGTTTTTGCTAAACCCGGAAATTACCCGGAAGGTCACAGGTTATAAAATTAGGGACCGGAACAAAGCCCATTACATTCGGTCCGAGTCGGGTTTTTGGTAGTCCGGATTCGGTACGGGTTCGACCGGTTAAAGCCCGGACGTGAAATATGTCATTGTTCTTTTATATTTTAACACTTATTTTCAAATAAAATTAATCAAAAATACAAACCGCAAATAATAACACAAATATTAGTCTCCAAAATCACCAACAATTCAAATTTAAAGAGGATAATTATCTTAATATTTTATGTAAGATGTATATATATAAATAATACGGAGTATATGTTTCTTAAAAATATTATGAAATAAATTTTATAAATCAAAAAGTTACTAGAGTTGCTATAAATATATTCTCATGGTCATCATTACGCTAAACAAATTCAACATATTTGTAGTCACTAAAAGTTACTAAATCTTTTTTTATCCACCGTGATTATAATCATATATTAGGAAATATTTTATTTATATTCATATACTATATTAATTTTATATTAAAACTAATTGTTTCGGTTTTTTCGGTCCGGGCCGGGTTATAGATTTTAAGGCCCGTTAATAAGCCCGAAATTTTCGGTTTGGTCCGGGTTTTTTTTAATTCGGGCCGGTTAAAAAGAAAAAACCCGGACTAGGATCATAATTCAGGTCGGTTCAGGGTCGATTTCCAAGTTTCGGTTCGGTTTTTCCCACCCCTAATAATTTATACGGACTACTCGGAGTATACTTTTTGAAAGTTGGTAGTATTATAAAAATTTTTAATAACATGTACCATAAGAGATGAATCTAATTATGGACTGGAGCTCAAATTTGGTACTTATAGAGCAAATATAACTAAAGTTGTAGTACCTAGTAAAGATTTAGAAACTATGTAAAAACAATACGTAGTATGATTCTGATACATATGTTTATGTATAGGCTTAATGGGAGATTTATAACCTTAATTCAATTTTTCCTATAAAAAGGTTAATGAACAATGCAAATGGTTGAAAAAACTGACCTAGAACTAACATATGTACATGAACTGAATATGAAACTAGTTAATTGAGTTTGGATTAAAAAAAAATCTATAATTTGAAGAGCTAACTAAATAAACCAACATTAGATTCAACCCGATCCGATTCGATCTGGCTCATGTTAATCAATCCTCCGCTTCTCCCCTCAGTTCTTCTTGCTTTCTATCAGTCCACCGATGACTATTAACCTTAAGTAAAAGGTTTGCAACAGCTTAAAAAAAAAGTACTTCTCCCCTTTTGGTTTAAAAAAGCATTTATTTTACCAAACACTATCAACTTTTACTTTTCTCGGCTTTCATGTGAAAATTGCTTTTTTTCTATTACACAAAAAACACTTATTTTACCAAACACTACCAACTTTTACTTTTCAAAATCATTTTTTTCTCAAACATTATCAACTTTTACTATTAATAACTTTTTCCAAAATCACTCCAAAAGTGCTTTTTTTAAGCAGGAGCTGTTGCAAATTTATTATCTGTAGTATGAAAATATTTAGTGAGATTTATTAACTGTATTATTTTGTGTCAAAAAAACTTTGTATTTGTTGTATATGATTCATAAAACCTCATTTATACGGGTATCGGGATATGCGACATGATGCCTAGAGATGACAATTGTGATCGATTCGATGCATACCAGCATCAATCCGCCTTAGGGATGTCAAAAAACCCGACCCGCAATGACCCGCCCTGGCCCGAGACATTTGGAGCGGGTCCGCCCCTCCCCGGCTTGCAAAATGGGCGGGTCCGGGTATTAGAATTGACCCGTGCCGCCCCGACCCGCCCCGCTCCGACCCGCTCAATATATAAGTATACATATTTTTTCTTAAATTATACTACAAATATACTTCAACATACATATGTGTGTATACAATAAATCATAAATTCTTTGATCTTATAATCAATGAATATATATTAGAATGAGATGCACGAGGATTATCAATGTCTTCTTTATATATAGAACTTTAATACATATATTCAATTATTAATATAACTAATTAGATTAACTTTTCCTTAATTTTTGAAATTTTTAGCGTATCATGAATCTGATTTAATATATTGATTTTTAATTATTATTTAGAGATAAACATTATGTAGATTCAATTGGTAACAACTTGCACAAATAAAAATACATACTAGCGAATTAGGTTGCGGCGGGGCGGACCCGCCCCGCCCCGCCCCGCATGGGGCGGGTTATGGGTCAACAAGTTTGGACCCGTGCAGGTCACGGGGCAGGTCCGGGTCTTGCAATACCCGCCCCGCTCCGACCCATTGCCATGCCTAATCCGCCTCGATCAAAATGAGGAAAACCGCATTGACTGGGTAATGCATACGGGGCGGGGAATACCCATTTTATTTTTACGAATAACGGGGCGGTTACAGTTTTATCCGCATCGTACTTACCCGATTTATTTTTAGTTATATTTTTATTACATTTTTATCTATTATTTTCCTCACAACTACTAAAAGATGAGACTTTTCGCTTTTCATGGTGTGTATATGGATATATGGATAATAGTGTGTGAATGAAACTTCATAATAGATTTTAATAGTCATGTTTGAATATTATCATATTTTTTAGTGATTAAGAACCCATTTGGTAACACTGAAATCGGTTGATTCAGCTGAAAGTTATGAAGTTCTGGCCGAAAGTTACGAAATTATATTTAAAATATATTTTATTAATGAAGTAAAGAAAAAAGTATATGAAAATAGCTAAAAACAAATGTTCCTCTACAGTAACTTCAGCCAATATAGTCACAAAAGTACTACCTCCGTCCCAAATTGATTTGCAAGGTCAACTTTTTTTATCAAACAGTTTCATTTTATTCACTTAATTAGAATCACAATTTTTAATTATATTATAATTTGGATTTTGGAATTCTATAGAGATTTTAATAAAGTTTCTAAATATGTAAATTATAGCTA